AGCAAATTTCTGCTTTTGTTCCAGTCTTTGCGAACATGTGCAGTGTGTTTTGGTTGCTTTTTCAGCAGAAACTCTAATTTTTTCGACTACATCTTGCAAATTTTGTTAAAATATGAACAGATACTGTTCCTTACGAATAATGCGTACAAACGGATCAACAATATTTTTGAAATACAACCCCAAACTATTATTGACCGACCACTGTGATTCACAGTGCCTTACATGATGCGCTTAGGCTTAATTTGGGCCTTTGATCCAATACCATGCCCGGCCATCTGATTGAAAGCTATTAATTTAGTCTTGTCATACCAAATAACCCTCAATTAAATATTAAAAATGTGTTTTTTATTGCATTCTGTAAGGCCTAACATATCCCAATAGGCAACGGTCCGGTTTTCGTGCGATGCAGCAAAACGCTGCCACACTCGCACATGTATTTTGATCAAATTTGCTTTTTTCTTCTTTTTTGATCCATTGCGCTCAATTTTGCAATTTTTCGGCTCACTGTCTACTGATTTGCATTCAATTTTAATACCTTAAGCGCTTCTGTAGAAGTGCCTGCAGCGCTACTTGCTACTAAGTTCACAAGATATCGGACTCTAATATATTTTGACAGACGTTCTTTGTCCTTAGTAACACTTTAGGCTATATTTTTTCTCAGTCTTAACATTTTCATGTGGCAAACTCCACAATTTTTTGCCACTTTCCCTGCGGTCCCGCCTTTTCGCAGTAAATCTATTATTTACATTTATGTATCCTGATAACCATATTATTTATTGGTGATGACTTCTTGAATAAATTACAATACAGAAAAAAGTCATCTGACTTCCAACCAGCGTTGCCATTTTAGCCGTTTTCCGGCTAGATTTAGCCGGTTTTGATAGCAACTAGCCGGAGAAAATTCGATCTAGCCGGCAGCCGGTTTGTAAAAAAAAGTTAGCCGTTTTTAGCCGATTTTACTATTTGCATAATTTTCAGGTGCAAAAAGTAAACAAGTTGTTCGAAAGCAATAATGCAGACCCAATGAAGATTTTTAATGAACTCAATGTTTTACTTTCGCATCTATGCTCCCTAGTGGTTATTAGCGTGGACACATTTGATCCTGTATGCTCCCCGTTGGAACCATACCTTGCTCCATTTCCTCAGTTTTATCACGGTTTTGAAGAGTATTTAAAAACAAAAGTAAGCACAAACGCTTTTGACCACGAAGCCGAGAAAATAATTCGAGAAAATGGTCGCTATTTTATTATCACTTTAATAAAGGAATTACGCCAGCGCCTCCCTACAAATATTGCCACACTAAAAAAATTTACTTTTTTCGGTTGGAAATGCATTAAGAGTAATTAAACCAAAAGTATTTGTTCAACTACAGCAACAAAAACACAAATATAATGCCGACGAAATAACATCCATAGAGATGCAATGGCAACGGTTAACGTTACATACCTGGAGTAATTTAGACTCAACTGTAAAATTTTGGGCCGAAGTTTATCAATTTCGAAATGCCCTAGGAGAAAACCGTTTTGCTGACCTTTCCAACCTAGTTTTTAGTTTTCTTGTTTTGCCTATAAGTAATGCAGAAGTAGAGCGAATATTTAGTTTAATGAATATAATAAAAACTAAGCAAAGAAATCCAATGTGCGTTAAAACGTTAAACGCTATTTTATATATAAGATACGGTTTAAACCGTGAAGAAAAATGCTGCCATAATTTTATTGTAGATGACGATCTCTTAAAATTAATGAATTCAGGTGATATATACAATAGTGATTCATTTGATGATGAGGAATATACACTCGATATAAATTAATGGTGTTAACTAGTCTTTCGTTTCTTGCGATTTATTTAAATAAAGCATGTGAATTTTCACTAAAACATTTTAGCCGTTTTTAGCCGCTTTTTTTTGCCAATCTAGCCGGTCGGCCCAAAAAGTTCTGGCAACACTGCTTCCAACTAAGCAAAAGATAACTGTAAAATGCAAAACTGAGAGTGAGTGCAAAACTGTAACATTTGCCTTAACTTACATTTTTGTCTCCAGGTTTTTTTATTGTTGTTGGATTGACCTCAAATCGTTATGAGAGCGGGAGTAGGAGTGTACCAATAAGAATATACAACAAAAGTATGAAAGTCGTTAGAACTATGAAAGATAGCGGTGGCTGAAATAAAAAGTGTTACATCATGTTACAGTTTTGCTCGTCACTGTACATTTTCATTGCATTTTTGCTAAACCGCACATTTCACTTCATCACAATTCAATTTATAAAACAACACAACACTTTTCAAAAATTTTGCATCAATTAATTTACCACAAATCATCGCTTATAACGCACAAATAGATTCACCGGCCGAGCGCAACTCAACAATAATTTTAAAACAAGCACAACCACTTCTGATTTGATACTGAATTGTCTCGCACTGGAATCAC